ACACTAACAAAGAAAAAGTGTAAGCTACTTGGATTACACATTTATGTTTATATATTATATATTATATGCTCAACATGTTTGCGGATTGATTATTTTTTTATTAGCTTCGAGTAACACGTGGATCATAGCCACTTTTTTTTTTTTTATCAGGTGGCCTGGTCTCTTTTTTTATACCAAATTAAAGTATGTGTTACATCTCAACTAAAAATATAAGCTGATAGTTGGATTTCACATTTATGTTTATATATTATATATGCTCAACAAACCTAATAATGCAACAACATAATGTTTACATTCATACAACATATGAGATAATGTTCAAAATTAAAATTAAGACCTTTTAATCAAATAAAAAACTTGAATGCTTAATTACTCGATTACATGGAGTTAATTAACATACCAACATGAATTTAGAAGCGACAAAATGCATTGTGCACATTGATTTTCATAGTAGATTAGATATAAATGGCTCTCAAATTACTTCAAGTAAATTTTAAAATAATAATAATAATAATAATAATAATAATAATAATAATAATAATAATAATAATAATAATAATAATAAAGCTATATGGTTTGAAAAATAATTAATGCTACAATTAATGCCACAACATCTTTTATTATAAAAAAAAAAAAAAAAAGCACAACATTTAAAAAATAAAATAGCTATATATTATATAATCATATAAAAAATATACTTTTGAAAAATAAAATATCTATATATTATATAATCATATAAAAAATGTGTTCAGTTAGAGTTTAAATTTACACATACAAAATTTGAAATTTGCTTTCCAAATGTAATTATCTTAGTTATTATTCGTATTGTGAAAATTATAATATAGATGAAATACAATTAAGAATAAATCAATGTAACTATGTAAATTCTCTCTATAAGTTTATTTGAATATGTACATAATTAGAGATTATATTAACCATACAAAATTATAATTATAATTTTAATTGTAATTTTGTATTCTATAAATAATAAATACTTGACCAATGGAAGCTCAAAAATATTATTATATTAAATAATTTATAATATTTTAGTTTTTCTATTTTTATTTATATTTATAATAATATAATTTTTTCCCGTGCATCGCGCGGGTGAATTACTAGTAATAATAATAATAATAACAATAATAATAATAATAATAATAATAATAATAATAATAATAAAATGAAAGAGGATATGGTTGTAAGTGAAATAGTAGAGGTGACCACGGGCTGGTTCAGGACCAAACCAGCCCTGAATTGGTCTGGTAAAATTTGGGCCTGGGCTTCATCGGGTCTAGTCCAGACCAGGACCGGCTAGTAAAGGACCGGTTCAAGTCCAATTTAAAAAAAGTCCAGGGCCTAGCTCAAAATCGGCCAAGGCACGAATTAGGTCGGGACCCTAGCCCAGACTTTGTCACGGATGTGTTTGAATAAATAAATAAATTATTTTTAATTTTTTTTAGATAATTTTTCTCTCAATACTAGATCTATAGATAACTTACTTGTTAATGGTCAATTATTGCACTCATGTTCTAAATTTATGTGTTTAATAGGGACATCAAATTGATCAGAAGTTTGAGTGATTTTGTTGAACCAATTAGAAAATGTACTAAATGACTTAAATACAAAAGGTAAAAATTGATTTTAAAATATTGTGTGTACATGGTTAAAAAAAAAAAAAAAAAAAAAAAAAAAAAAAAAAAAAAAAAAAAAGACATTATAGTTTATATACACCTACTCAGTAAAATTTTATATATGTAAATTGTTATGTAAACTTGCTCTATATCATGAGGTAATAACTACTTTATATAATAGTAATCAAACTAGTGACGCTAGCATAATTACAACTATGAGAGTTTTGATTCCTCTTAATTATTGATGATGATACGTATGACTCTTTATATATATATATATATATATATATATATATATATATATATATATATATATATATTATTGAATCAAAAAGTTGAAGTGCCCTCAATTAGATATAAGTTTGATTTTTAACAATGATGTTAGTGGGTCGATTTTTTTTTTAAAGTATAATAATAATAATAATAATAATAATAATAATAATAATAATAATAATAATAATAATAATAATAATAATAATAATAATAATAATAATAATAATAATAATTCCGAGCCTAACCCAAGATTGATCCACGAGAGGCACGGGTCTAGGTCCGGAACCAACCCAAATAATTCAAGGCCGGTCCCAGTCCATACTAATCTAGACTTAGGATCAGCACAAACCTGACACAGAACCAGCTCAAGCCCGGACTTTGCCACCTCTATGAAATAGAGAAGTGCTCTATACCCTATTTGAAAAGGAAAACACCATATACCAATGTAGATAAGAAGAAAAGGATATAGATGATAATATCAATTCTTTTTGTACAAATCAATTTATAGTGTATTATTGACTCTGTTACAATATAGTATATGTTTATAACTATTTTCTCAACCTGTTGAGATATAAAGAGTCAATACTGCCTCTACTGGGGCACAAATTTATGACCTCCATTTGAGAGAACTACTTCATGCCACTAGACCACAAATATAGTGTAACTAGCAATAAATATTAAATAAGCAATGATAAGTATATTTTTAGCCCAAAAATTAAAGATTAAAGTTAAAAGTGATGAAGACATTTTTGTTGTGATCATAACACTGGAAAACAAGAGCTAGACAACCAACTTCGAAAGTACAGAGTATATGCTGGAATAACTTTTTTGATAGAAACAAATCAAAAATGATTGAATGTATTTGAGTAAAACTCTCGCGATATATTTTATTATAGTGGAAAAAGAGAGAATTATATTGTTAATAATCATGATGTGAATTTATCATCTAAGTCACTTCTGACAAGCTAGTACACTTTAATATTATTATTATTTTTTTAATCTCAACCAATTATGTAAATTTTGATCAAACAATACTAACTGGCTCGAGCATAAAATAAAATTAAGGTGAAATTAAGAAAAAAAAAAAGTCACATAAGTAAAAGCTATATCATAAATGATCATGTTGTGAAACTTTAAAAGAAAAATGATAAGTCCACTCTCAGAATTTACCTTTTAAAAATTCACAACTTGTGATGATCCCGAATTGTATTCACAAATTCTCAAAACTTTGAAACACAATTTATATTCTGAAGTTTCCCAATTCCAATACTAAAAAAATACACAATTTAAGATTAAGGTTCATCTTACAAAGTGGTCCTTAGTCCATGGTATAACAACTGCTAAAAATAAACATTTATCTGCGTAAATCATATTCCACGATATAAGTTGCAATTGGCTTCACCACCCTTAGGCCCACTCTGAATTAAGAAAAATGTGGACGGCTTAAAGCACTAAGAAACGTGATTATCAATCAGAGGCTAAAGCGGTGAGCCGGTAACGTCAATAAAAATATCTATTGAATGAGGCTAAACATGGTTTACACAGAGACAGAGTGCTTTCAGATGTTAAGTATTATAATTATTAAGTGATTGATAAATAAAAGAACTATTTTAATAAAAAAAAAATAGTTAATGGCATGAGAAGGCAATCATATTAGATATGTAGTTAGCATATTGCTATGTAGTTAACATATTGAAGCAATATGCTTTGGAATCATAAGGTGGACACAATTCTATGTTCATAATTATAAAGCTATATGATGGGATGAGGACCCCGGCCCAAGGAGATGGGCCCAAGAGAGGAGTTCAAGATAGGAGATGTGGGTCAGTAGCGAAAGAAGCCCAGTGGAGGCTTGGGCCAAGTCCAGGAGTCGGCCCGGGCCCGAGCCCGGGGAGAGACCCGGCCCCGACCCGTTAGGAAGCATTCAAAGAACCTCATTTAAGAGGACTCGGCCCAGAAAGCCGTTGAAGGACGTCCAATGTAGCATTCAAGTCGGTCCAAGAACCGTTAGGAAACACTCAATGCAGCATTCAAAGAGAGCTCGACCCAACGGACCGTTGGAAGCCCAGAGAGCCGTTGGCCGGCTCGGTAACGGTGCCCGAACGGTCGCGTAGCGTAATTAGCCTTGAAAGCGATAGTTAATGTACTTCAATTCGGCTGGAGAGGAGCCTACTAAATAAAGGCCCCTCCAGCCTTGTAATCCAGGCGAGTCCATGCCAGTGAATAAGAGACACACATTCTAGCTATTATTTCGACTACTCTCCCTTTGCTAAAAGCTTTGTGAAAGGTGAATCCACCAGCCAAGGTTGTGTTGGATCTCCCTGGGCCCAAAAATCCAAAAACCAACACTGGCGCCGTCTGTGGGGATCGATACAAAGAGCTACATGACTTTCTGAGTGAGGCGAGTCCGCACGTCGACCGAAAAAGCATCACAAGCATGTCAGAAGGACGCGACCAAACGAATAATCGCGATAATGGAGCGGAAGCAGATTTGAGAGAGCAGTTAAACCAACGAAACGCCCAAAGTCAGGAAAACGAGACAGCACTGGTAAACCGGCAACCACCTATGATACCCCTCACCCCGGAGCAACTCCACGCAATCGGGCGAGCCTTCGCTGACGCAAGTCGAGGAGTGAGGGAGCAGTCGGTCTCTCGACCGATGCCTCGCCATCAGCAACCTTCCCAGAGGCCGGAAGACAGACGAGAAAACCGACGGGCGGAAAGTCAACCAGTACGATCCGTCCACTCCAGGCTAGGCCCAAACGCTGGACGACAGTCGGCAAGAGAACGACTGGGAGAGAGGGAGCACAGCCGTGCACCGGCGGGCCCTCGGGATCAAGAGGCCGGTCGCGAGAGAACTCGCACCGAAGAACGAGGACTCGGGCACGCCGAACCGAGCGACCCGCCCGCAATGATGACTGACCGGTTGAATCAGAAGTCGGCGAAAGCACCGAATCGACAGGAAACCATACTCGCAACAGGGGCGAGGTGGCGCACCTAGCCCAGGAATTGCGAAGCTTAAAAGAGCAGGTGGAGGGCAAAACCAAATCCCCAGGTCGAACGCTGTTGACCGCCTTGCCCTTCTCGACCGAGATCATGACATACAAGATACCTGGTGATTTCAAGTTTCTAGAACAGGCCACTTTCGATGGATCCGGCGATCCTCGAGAGCATCTGCTAAGCTACCAAGCCAAGATGCAAGTTTTAGGAGTTCGGGACCCTGTCATGTGTCGCGCCTTCCTGCCCATGTTAAAAGGCTCAGCACAAAGATGGCTGGTGGCATTGCCTCCGGGGTCGATTCACAGTTTTGAAGAGCTAGCCGATCGTTTCATGAGCCATTACGCGGCCAATATCAAACCACAGAAGGATCTAATGCATTTGGGAGACGTTCACCAAGAAGAAGGTGAGTCCTTAAAAACCTACTTGGCCCGCTGGCAGAAAGAAATTCAATCTATCGAAGAGGTCGAGGACCAGACCGCGCTCACCTTCTTCATCGAGTCCTTGCGATCCGGACAGCTATACCGGGATCTGTGGGATAATCGCCCGACCACCTATGCGGAAGCCATACACATGGCCAATAAGAGGGCTAACACGGAGCAGGCCATAAAGCACAAACGACAGCATGAAGTTGGAGGATCTACCGGTGGAAAGAGAACCAGGGCGCAAGTCAAGGAAAGGCATCCGGAAATGGCTCGGCGGCCCGAGGTTAGGCGTCCATATGATAAGCCCACCGTACATTCCTATAGACCGGCTCCTGAGCGTCCGGTACATGAGGTACAAGCAGTCGCTCCACCTCCGCTCCCGCCGACTAACGATCGCGCGATGAACGAAGAAACAGGTAATGCCTCTAAATATTGTCGTTATCACAAATCTTACACTCACAGCACGGAAGAATGCTTCTACTTGAAAAAGATCATGGAAGGAATCACCCAACAAGGGACCTCGCCTCCTAATCAGTGGAGGCGGAGGTCGGCGGCACGGGAGGGTAGTGACCCCGCAGTCGCCGCCGAGAGCAGTCGCGGCAAGCAGCCAGTGACCGAGGAAGATGAGGCGTAGTGGCGTCAGAAGCCGGTTATCAACATGATAGTCGGCGGACCAGAAGGGGGCGACTCAGCGAACACCAGAAAGGCCTGGGCTCGACAGTTGTATGTCGGGACAGTATACGGGCGCGAAGAAGGCTCGAAGAAAGTGTGTCGGGAGCCCATCACGTTCACTGACAAAGACCTACCCACGGGGGAGACACCGCATCGAGATGCCCTGGTCATAGCGATGGACGTAAATGGAGTAGTCGTTCGACGAATCCTGGTTGACACCGGGAGCAGTGTCAACGTGTTATACCTCGAGACTTTCACAAAAACGGGACTAACCCGAGAGCAGCTGAATCCAGTCAAGACGCCACTCGCCAGTTTCACCGGAGACTCGGTGGAGGCAGAGGGATCCATTACCTTACCAGTGGAAGTTGACAGCTATCCCGACGTACAGAAACTCAGCATGAAGTTCATCGTGGTGGACCTAGCCTGGTCACACAATGCTATACTCGGCCGACCAGGCCTGGAGGATCTAGGAGAACTGATCTCCATTGAGCACCTCTGTTTGAAATTCCGCACACCGAGCGGGATAGGCACGGTACGTTGCGATAGAAGAGTCGCCCGCGACTGCTATCTACAGGCCTGCAGGGGGATGGGTAAGCGTGAAATGCAAGCCCACGAGATCACAGAAAGGCCCCCAAAGAAAGCGATGATACCCCGCCCAGAGCCGGCCGTGGAATTGGAAGAGGTTGAGATCGACCTTGAACAGCCAGACAGGCGGGTCAGAATTGGAGTCGGTCTCCCTGAGGAAATACGAGAGGAAGTTATCAAAGTACTCCGAGAGCACCGACTAGTCTTTGCCTGGGGTCCGGAGGATATGCCAGGCGTCGACCAGTCCATCATTGCCCATCGACTCACCGTGAATCCGGACCATCGACCGGTCGTACCGAAAAAGCGGTATCTCGCCAACGACAGGAGGGAATTTGTAAAGAAAGAGGTGAGCATGCTGCTGGCCGCGGGCCACATCCGAGAAGTTAAATACCCGGAGTGGTTGGCAAACGTAGTCCTCGTACCGAAGCCCCCAGCATGGCGAATGTGCGTGGATTATACTGATCTTAACAAAGCCTGCCCAAAGGATCCGTTCCCCTTGTCGCGGATCGATCAGCTGGTCGACGAGACCATAGGGTCGGCTCTGCTGAGCCTTATGGACGCCTTCAGGGGGTATCATCAGATCTTCATGCACCCGGCTGACGAGGAGAAGACCGCGTTCCTAACACCGGACGGGGTATATTGTTACCGAGTTATGCCCTTCGGACTTAAGAATGCTGGGGCCACTTACACTCGGATGGTCGCCCGACTGTTCCAAGACCTGCTGGGGAAGTCCATGGCGACCTACGTAGACGACATGCTAGTCAAAAGCCGAGAAGAGATCAAGCACGCGGAAAGATTTGGCTGACTGCTTCCAGGTGATGCTAAGGTATAATCTCCGACTAAACCCGAAAAAATGTGCCTTCGCGGTGCAAGGTGGGAAGTTCTTAGGATACATGGTGACAAAACGAGGCATCGAGCCCAACCCTGAGAAGGTTCATGCCATCATTGACATGCAGCCTCCTAGCACCGTCAAAGATTTACAACGGTTAACTGGCCGACTGGCTGCCCTCAGTCGCTTCTTGAGCAAGGCGGCAAACAAAATCATACCGTTCTTTGAGGCCATGAAGAAGAAGGAAGGCTTTGCATGGACGACCGAGTGCCAACAATCGTTCGAAGAACGGAAGCAGTATCTTTCTACACCTCCGGTGTTGTCCACCCCTCAGGTGGGTGAGCGCTTGTTCTTATACTTAGCCGCTTCCCCCAAGGCAGTAAGCTCAGTACTGGTTCGGGAAGAAGAGCGTACCCAGCACCCGGTAAATTACGTAAGCCGCTCCTTGAAGGCCGCCGAGACGCAGTACACGGCCTTGGGAAAAATTGTCTATGCACTAGTAATCACCGTACGCAAGTTGGCGCCCTATTTCCAAGCCCATACCGTCCGGGTCCTAACCGACCAGCCTCTGGGAAGCGTATTGCGGAACCCTATGTCGTCAGGTCGACTGGTAAAATGAGCCGTGAAATTAACCCAGTACGGGATCGAGTATCAACCACGACCGTCCATAAAAGGGCAAGCCTTGACCGACTTCTTGGTCGAGTGCACAGTAGGGGAAGGCGAGAAAGATGGCACCATGGAAGATAGCTCAGGCGAATGGTGGGAGATGCACGCGGATGGAGCGGCAAGCCGACAACACTGTGGAGGCGGAGTCATGCTAATTACTCCAGAGGGCTTCCGGCTTTACTACGCCCTAAGATATTTGTTTCCAACGTCCAATAACGAAGCCGAGTATGAGGCTGTGTTGGGCGGTCTTCGACTCGCCAAAACGCTAGGAGTGGAACGATTGCGAATCAAAACCGACTCCGGTTAGTGGTCGGACAAATCTCCGGCACCTGCGAAGCTAAGAACGTCCGGATGGCCCAGTATAAGGAGAAGGCGATAGAAATGCTGAAGGAATTCGGAACATATGAAATAGAGTACATCTCCCGGGCGGACAACATCGAGGCCGACATATTATCGAAAATTTCCTTAGAAGGAATACCAGATCACCTCGTCAAGATTTTCCAAAAGGAAGAGTTAAGTCGGCCAAGTATAGAGGAAACGCCGTTGGAGGTCCGACAAGTAATAATCGAGGAGTGGGATCGAGAGAAAAACCCCGAGATGTTCTGGATAGAAGACATCCGGCGATTTAAGGAAACGGGAGAGTTGCCAGAAGACCCAGGAGTCGCCGCAAGGGTTCGACGAAAAGCCCTTTCATTCCAGATCATTGACGGGCAAATGTACAAGCGGTCGTTCGGAGGTCCCCTCTTGAAGTGCCTACTCAGGCCCGAAGCTAGGAAGATAATGGATGAAGGTCATCGAGGAATCTGCGCCGCCCACCAGGGGGCTCACACTCTAGCTCGAAAACTAGTCGTCCAGGGGTACTATTGGCCGACCATGATGCGAGATTGCATTGAGTGAATAGCTAAGTGCGGCGTTTGCCAAGCCTTCGCACGGAAGGATACTCGGCCGGCCACCTTCTACACGCCGGTCACCACGGCCATCCCTTTTGCTAAGTGGGGAATCGACTTGTTAGGACCGTTACCAGTCGCCCCTGGAAGCCTGAAATTCTGTGTCGTGGCCATCGATTACTTCACCAGATGGGTCAAGGCCGAGCCACTAGCCACCATCACCGAGTACCAGTGTCGACGTTTCCTGTGGAAAAAGGTGATTTGTCGCTTCGGCCTGCCCGAGCACGTAGTTAGCGACAACGGCCGACAGTTCGATTGTCAAGCCTTCGCCGACTTCTGTCGCCGGCATAGTATACGACACACCAAGGTATCCGTCGCATACCCCCAGGCCAACGGACAAGTCGAAAATGTAAATCGGACCATAGTGGACGGGATTCGGAAGAAGTTGGAAGACATCGGAGGAAATTGGGCGGATGAGCTTGACCGGGTCCTGTGGGCTTATCGAACTACGCAAAGACGGTCGACTGGAGAAAGCCCATTTTCCTAGCATACGGCTTCGAAGCCAAGGTTCCGATAGAAGTCGTGGAACCCACCCACCGAGTCCGCGACTATTCCGATGAGGAGAATGAGGAGAGCCTTAAAATTGAGAAGAATTTCCTGGAGGAAAGAAGGGAGGCCGCACACGCCCGGATGGTGGAATACCAGCAAGCCGTAAAGAGGTATCGTGATCGAAGGATTCGCCCATGAACCTTTCAGGTTGGCGATCTCGTGTTACGGGACCGACAGGCGAGCCAGCCTACGGAAGGGGGTAAATTCGCGATCAAATGGGAAGGACCGTATCGCATTACAGCCGTGGTCCAAGCCGGTACCAACAAGCTGGAGACCCTAGAGAGAAAGCCCGTGGACCGAATCTGGAATGCCATCCACTTGAAGAAGTTTTACCAATAAGAGGTTAGCCGTGTATGAGTATCCGAGTTTCTAAAATTAAATAAAAGAGCGCCAATTACCATCGATTACCGCTTTCCACTCAGCGAGAAGAGATAGGAAACAAGGGCCCAGATCCTTAGTTGTTTCCGTGAAAAAGCCAAAAGAAGTCGCCTCGACTGAAGGACTCGGCGAGAAATTAAAGAAACGACGGGGCACTAACCCTAAACCGTTTCTATGACAAGAAAAAGCCTAAGGAAGTCGCCTCGACTAAGGGACTCGGCGAGAAGAGATAGGAAACAAGGGCCCAGACCCTTAGTCGTTTCCGTGAAAAAGCCAAAAGGAGTCGCCTCGACTGAGTGACTCGGCGAGAAATTAAAGAAACAACGAGGCACTGACCCTAAACCGTTTCTAAGAAAAGAAAAAGCCTAAGGAGTCGCCTCGACTGAGGGACTCGGCGAGAAGAGATAGGAAACAAGGGCCCAAACCCTTAGTCATTTCCGTGAAAAAGCCAAAAGGAGTCGCCTCGACTGAGAGACTCGGCGAGAAATTAAAGAAACAACGGGGCACTGATCCTAAACCGTTTCTAAGAAAAGAAAAAGCCTAAGGAGTCGCCTCGACTGAGGGACTCGGCGAGAAGAGATAGGAAACAAGGGCCCAGACCCTTAGTCGTTTCCGTGAAAAAGCCAAAAGGAATCGCCTCGACTGAGGGACTCGGCAAGAAATTAAAGATACAACGAGGTACTGACCCTAAACCGTTTCTAAGAAAAGAAAAAACCTAAGGAGTCGCCTCGACTGAGGGACTCGGCGAGAAGAGATAGGAAACAAGGGCCCAGACCCTTAGTCGTTTCCGTGAAAAAGCCAAAAGGAGTCGCCTCGACTGAGGGACTCGGCGAGAAATTAAAGAAACAACGGGGCAATGACCCTAAACCGTTTCTAAAACAAGAAAAAGCCTAAGGAAGTCGCCTCGACTGAGGGACTCGGCGAGAAGAGATGGGAAACAAGGGCCCAGACCCTTAGTCGTTTCCATGAAAAAATCAAGAGGAGTCGCCTCGGCTGAGGGACTCGGCGGGGAATTAGACCGTTTCCAAGTATTAAAAGAGAAGAGAAGTCGCCTGGATCACAGGAATTCAACAAGATGGAAGAGTCCAATACCTTAAGTTATTTTCATTGATTAAGATCGAAAAGAGATAAAAGCAGTCGGAAGAAGCAGAAAAGAAATTTCATTAAAAAAGGACCCGAGAGGGGGGCCAAACCTTACAAAAAGGGGGGGGGGGGGGGGGGGGGGCTAACAAGAAATAAACCCTAAGCTACCGGGGAAGGGGTGTCGACGTCAACTCCTTCAACTCGGTCTTCCGCCGTTGGTCCAGCTGGAAGAACAGGTGGAGAGTCTTCTGCCTGAGGAAGTGGTTCAGAGAGCTCGGAAGGTCCCACCGCAGGAAGAGCCGCCGGATCGACAGTCGCCGGCAGAAGATCTAGCACTGGCTTGAGGCCCCAGCCCTCGGGAGTGAAGGTAGAGTCGCGGGCCAGCAGGGCGGCATGGATTTCCGTTTGGGCTTCGCGAAAACCCAGACGATAGTCGCGCTCGCCCAAGTCCAGGAGATAGTCGTCTCCTTCCGGCGTTGCCAGCCACTCATTGGCGATCTCCTTTTGTCGAGCCGCCACCGCCGCCTTCACATCCGCTTCGAAGGCCGACGACTTCTTATAATCCTCCACGGAAGTGGTGTCAATCGTTGCGACCTTGTCCCGCTCCTCCTCCCATTGACGGGTGACCCTCAGTAGCTCCGAGGTGTGCACCTCCACTGATATGGCGTGCACAGCCTGCTCTTCCAGACGAGCGTCCTTTGTTTGACGCAGGCGAGTAGCAAGAGATTGCAGCGCAGACTTATACCCCCTCAGCCGTTTACTTAGCTCCATCTGGAAGGTGAGGTTCTGCAAAATAAAAGTGAAAAGTTAGATAGAGAAAAGAAAAAAGAAGAGGCGAGGGGTCGGAACGCTTACGCGGTACGACTGGCGGAGTGAGGCTTCCAGGATGTAGTCATCCTGCATCGAGCCGGTCATCTCCACATCCATAGGCAGAAGGACGTGGTCGGCCCAAGTCCGGACCGAAGAGCTGCCCTGCCAGATCTGGGCATTCTCATCCAGCTCGATACCTAACCGGATCCTCTTTGGAGCCGGCGCATCTGACTGCTCCACGGGCCGCTTGGAGCTCGGGCTCTCAGAAGAGGGCGGAGGCGGCTGCCTGGAAGGCGAAGCGACCGGAGACGGCGTCAAGTCCACCACAGTTCGTGGTGGTGGTGGAGTCGACCTCGAGGTCGGAGAAGGAAGCGATGAAGAGGCGGCGGCGGCGCCCGAGGTGCGTTGAGATAACCGGCGCCTCATTTTTTCAGCACGGTCGGCCATTTCCGGAGTCAGAGCCTCGGCTTCGTCCGAGCTGGTAGAGACGGAGTCGTAAGGACCTGCGAAAAGAAAAAAGAGACAAGTGTTAGCAGTCGAATT